ATATGTTTTGTAACAGCCTGGATGGAACTGGAGACCATTCTTCTTGAAGTATCACAAAAATGGAAAAGCAAACCCACATGCACTCAATACTAAATTGGAACTAATTGATCAAAACTAATGTGCACATATGGAAGTAAAACTCAACGGAAATCAAGCAGGTGGGAGGGGGAGGAGGGGATGGGAAAATTCACACTAATGGGTACAATGCATACTATCTGGGTGAAGGACACACTTATAATTTCAGTTCAAACTGTACAGAAGCAAATTATGTAACCAAAATGTGTATACCCCTGTAATACTCTGAAATTAAAAAAAAAAAGGTTCATTGTGTTGTACCATTAAAAAAAAAAAAGAATACTAAAAATAGAGCTACCGTGTGATCCAGCAATCCCATTCCTGGGTATATATCAAACGGAAATGAAACCAGTATGTTGAGGAGATATCTGCATTCCCATGTTTACTGCAGCACTATTCACAATAGCCAAGATATGGAACCAATTTAACTGTCCTTCAACAGGTGAATGGATAAAGAAAGTGTGGTATATACACAATGGAATGCTCTTTAGCCATAAAAGAGAGTGAAATTCTGTCATTTGCTGCAACATGGACGAGCTTGGGGAACATTATGTTAAGTGAAATAAACAAGGCGCAGAAAAATAAATACCACATGCTCTCACTCACATGTAGATGCTGAGAAAGTTGAACTTGTAGAAGTAAAGAGTAGAGTAGTGGTTACTAGAAGCAGGGCAGGGTAGGGAGGAGGGAGGGAGAGGGAGAGATTGGTTGCCTTCTTCCCCTACTGTGGCCTGACTCATTCTTCCCGCCTGCTTAGGGCAGATGCCATTGAAGACTCTCCGATCCCTCAGTCTGAATGACCTTCTCCCTCCTCCCTTCCCTCCAGCAGCACACAGCCTGGTCTGTTCTGCTTCATGGCCCGGGCATTAGCTTTTCTCTAAGTTGTGAGTTTCTTAAGCCAGGGTCTAATGTAATTTCTTGAGCGGATGTAATATATGCTTTGCATGTAGTAGCTGATCCACATGTGGGTTGAATAAGCAGCATGTGCTACAGAATTGTGACCTCTGGAGGATCTATGTGCCACTCTGGTGCCTCCTGCTGTTCTCTGTGTGAGGCAGGTGGAGAGGGGCACTGTCACCTGCTGGACCTTGCTACTTGGTCACGGCACTCCTCGTTGCTGAGTTCTGCTCTGGCCTCAAAATCCTTTCCATGGCAGCACTCCTGGCTGTCACAGCCCATCCATCCAAGGTGACAGTTGACAACCAGGTCTCTCTGACCTGTACTGTGGAAAAATCACGATAACTTTGATTTGTTCGTTTAAAAATCAGATAAAAAAGGATTTAGCTCCTTTAAAAATTTTCGACAAGATAAAAGGTTTAGAAATCTTGCTGGGACATCCCGTGTGTGCCTGCATCAGGCACTTATGTGGGTGCGCTGCGTTGGGAGGGGAGAACGGGGACCCCGTGGCTGGCTCACCGTCTCTGGTAGTAAAAGGAGTGGTCCTGGGGAAATGGGTGTGAGAAGCGTGTATCCACCAGAGGGAACAGACAGGATGGCAGATCTCAAGCTGTGCAAACCAGAGCAGAAAGACGGCTTGGAGAAGGATCTCCTAGGGAGAGATGGAGTGTTACAGAACACTTTCCACTGACTCACGGATGATGGGAATAACAAAGCCTTTTCATACTTCTTTGTAATCCCAAAGCAATGCTCCAAACAGGTGGAGGAAGTTTCTAGAAACTACTGGAAAGCTTCAAACACTTAAGGAAAAGCAGTTTGGTGAGGTGAACTCTCACCTAACCTACATAAATAACCAGAGAAGAGGATGTTGTGGTCTCTGTTTGTCAGGTGGGTGAATCAAGGCTGGGGAGAGAATGGGTTAAGGCCACACAGCTAGCTATTGGAGGAGCCAGAATTTGAACCCTGCCTGGCTCTGAAGTCCAAATTCTTTTTCCTACACCAGATACAGTACATAGGGCTGTACCTAAAATGCCTACGCCATCTTGCTCCCAATTGGTGCTGAAGTCCATGAGAGGCTTGTGAGTGAATGAAGCTAATGTTTTACTGAGATGCCGTTTGCAGCCCTGTCTCCCCCTTGTTCAGTCCTCACCCTCCTAACCCTGCTATTTGGGGTGCCCCGAATGTGGCCCTGTACTTGTAGGGCACTGTGCGTCTGCTCACGGGTGACCCCTGCCTGCAGTGGCCTTGCCTGCCATCTCTGCCTGTTGAAACCTAACCCAGCGATCCAGAGCCGGTGGAGCTCTCTGGGGACACTTTCCTGGTTCCCTCAGCAGAGTCAAACCCTTCCTCTGGGTTCTCATGAAACTGGATGCCAGCACCTGTCACGCGCTGCCCCATACTGGGGCAGCTTGTTTAGCTCTGTCTTCCCCCGCAGGCTCCCAGCTCCCAGGGCAAGGATGGAGGCTTAATCATCAGCCCCGGGGGGACTCAGCCACGGAGAGCTGAATTCAGTCGGTTCTGCTGAGCCTCGGATGAATCCAGGCCACTGGGAGTTAGCCTTAGGGACCTCACTGTCTTAACTTATTTAAGAAACCTTGGCGTGTCATAGAATGAAATCCATTACTAGCATCTTCCGTGTGGTCCACATCACCTGTCACTCAGGGGGACAGGGAGATTAAATCGGCGCAGTGAGGCTGGCTCTTCCTAGCGCCCTGTTGATTGCTCTCAGCATGGCACAGCCCTCTGTGAGTGTCCGGTCTCTTTCCGGTCCTTAGGTGGTGGCGGGCCAGAGGATATTGGTCAGGATCATATTTTTCCTTCTTAAAAACACGAATGTCGTGGTTTCCATTTTCTAACTTTTCAAGTTTGCTGGCCAGGGTCTCAGCAGTGATGCCTGCGGCTGGCACCGCGGCAACTATCAGCCCCCCAGGATCCATCATTTGTCCTTGCTGAGCTGGGGACAGCCTCTCTGCAGGCGCTCTGCCACCGTTTCCCCTCGCGGTTTCCTGTGGACTAGGTGTCATACTTTATTGATCAAAAGCTGCCTCTCTCCAGAAGGCTGATTCTGTTTCTCAGGAGTTGTTTTTGAGGGTAGTTCACTTTAAACTGGTAAATTTGATTGGACTTCACTTGCACTGATATGTGTTATATGTGCTACAGACTTAGCAGTTTAAGATGAGTTTTGAAAAAAGAACAGTGCAGCCTATTTTGTGACAGTTCGTGTGTGTGACTAATTAGTGCTCTGCAGTGCACCGTGAAACTCGCAGGGTACCACGTAAACACCAAATCATAGCATGTTTCTTGTTTGAAACTGTGTTAGTAAGTTGAACATCTGTATTATAGGAATATACCGTATTAGTAAATTGAACATCTTTTATCGATTCACCTAGTTAAGCAGGAAAATAATCCTTATGGCTTTATAAAGCTCCTGTAAGTTCTGGTAGGTGCCATTTTGGAAATGAATTAAATTGAATAAATGAAGGCAGATGTCAAGCATTTAATTGGCCTTCTCTCCCAGCTGGCTCTGTCAATTTTGGAACCATTGTCAGAGATGATACAGTTCACCGATACGAAACTGACACAGTGGGTTAGATGCTGCTGTTCTCTGGAGAGGAGAGGCTGGTTCTGCAGAGTTAATGTTTAATACCCGGCTGATGCAACTGTAGCCTGTTCTCCACAGAGTTTTCTATGAAAGTTCCTCCAATGGTAGAGACGAATAGGGAAGAAGACTGCGGCAGTTTACCCCAAGTGGCCTGCAAAATTTAAAGTCTTGAGCCTTATGTAAAACGTTCAAGAGCTTTTGTTTTCTACTCTATGTTAACATTTTCCTCCAAATCTTCAACTAAAAAGGTTTGACTGGGAATATGTGTCTTTTAATTCTATGGCTTCTGGAACCCTCAGGCTCAGATACCTGGCTTGAGAAGCAGGTATAAAAATGAGGATAAAAAGGGTGTAAAAAGGGATGCCAGAAAACAACCAAAGTAATTTTGGTGTTTAAAATGTAATTCTTAAGCAAGGAAAGGAGGGTTGCTGAGCTGAGAGACAGGAGGCAGAGGCCGTGGTGGGATTTGCCTGTAAGGTGACCATTCAGTCGGGACGGATTGGCAGCAGGGACCGAGGCAGGGGACCAGGCGATGCGCTGCCTCAGTCATCAGTGGAGATGATGGTGGCCTGGTCCCACTGGCGCCTGGGGCAGGAAGCAAAGTGGACGGATCCCGTCATGAGGAGCCCCAGGAATTGGTGGGACGTGGTGGCTGCAACATGAGGTGGGGGAGGAGGAGAGAATCGGCTCACCGACTAGCGGGCGCTGGGCACTGCCGTGTGCCAGGCCCTGTGCTGGGCATTTCAAACCCAGTCGTCACTGGAACCACGCAGCCACCTCGGGTGATTGGTTTGGGCAACTCTGGTAGGAGCCTGGGCTTAGTGAGGTTGAGGATGTGTCCGAGGTCGCCCCTAATGAGCAGCAGGACCCGCGTCTAGACTCAGAATGGTTCCAGGGGTGTTTCTGAGGCAGAATCAACAGGTCTCAGAGACCGTCCAGACGGGGCTGGGAGAGAGTAGGAGTAGGAGAGTTGTCCCTACCCTTCTCCTCCCGTAAATATTAGCTCCAGAACCTTCTTATCCAAAGACGAGCCCACCACCCCTGTATGATTCACCCTGTTCCAGAACACTGGACTTAGAGTCCAGTGACCCAGGGCCCTTCCTAGCCCGCTAGCCGCTTGCCTTCAAGGTACTTTGCCTCTCAGAGCTTCGGCGTCCTCCTCAGAAAAATGCCAATAACGGTTTCATTGTGAGAAGGAAAGACGGTCGTGTAAAGAAGGCAGCGCCAGGCCCAGCACCGGGGTCATGCTTGATACCCAAGCTGGTTTATTCCATGCCCGTAGATAATGTTGCATTTTACTAAATTAGGGGAGTTCTAACTTGTGGCACATGATTGGACTTTGATAAATATCTGCAACATGAAAAGGAAGTAATTCTTACCCACTGAATTTGTCAATATTGGTGTGTATCCTGTTTTGTCCAACAAGATGGAGTATATCCTGTTTTGGAGTCAACACCAGGCCACCTATGAAACATCTGTGAAGTCCCCTTCTGGTGAGAGTGGTCACTCTATGTCATGGTCAGTGCGCTCAGAAAACTTCAGCTCTAAAAATATCACCTGCATAACCCGCAAATAATCTTTCCTTTCCTTTGCACCTTGTCAACGGTTAACACTGCCCCCTGTTGGGCGTTTGATGTGTGCACATCATCACTATCTCTGGCTTTCTCCTTAGTCGTGGCTGTTTACATAAAGAAGTCCTGGTGGTTCACGGAAGATGTACTGAGAACCTCAGATCCCGCAAGAGAAGGGCTGATGGAGGTGAGTTGATGTTATTTTAAATGAACGTTGCAAAAGAAGTTTTAAAAGTCACGGCACTTAATATCATGTTAGTAATTTAAACTGGTCTACCCTTGTATATTCATTTCTTAGGGCTCCTGTAACAAAGTACCACCAACTGGGTGACTTAAAACACAGAAATTGATTGTCTCACAGTTCGGGAGGCTGGAAGTCTGAAATCAAAGAATCGACAGGGTTGCTTTCTTTGGAGGGCCGTAAGAGAGAATGTTCCAGGCCTCTATCCTAGCTTCTAGTAACCCCGGGGGTTCCTCGGTTTGGAGACGGTTTCTCTCTCTGCCTTCATATCATTTCCTATCTACCTGTGTCTGTCTCTGTTGAAATTCTCCCTTTTTACAAGGACACAGTCATATTGGATTAGGGACCACCCCGATGCCCTCATCTTGACTTCATCATCTGCAAAGACCCCCTTTCCAAATAGTATCACAGTTGGGTTAGGACTTCAGCATCTTTTGGGTGGGTGGGGTACAGAATTCAATCCATAACACCCTATCGGCAAGGAAAATCGTAACAAATGACTGTCTGCAACAGATATCTGCCTATTGGTAAGTCTGTTTTGCTTTCCTGAGTGGCCCCTCATGTCTAAGTTTTAAAACTTTGTTAAGTTTTAACTTTATTAACTTTACTGACTCTATTTTGTGGGAAAGTCCTGCTAGGAGTGGAATTGCTAGTCACATGGTGACTCTATGTCTGACATATTGAGGAACTACCAAACTGCCTTCCTAGCAGTTGCACCGTGCTGCATTCTCAGCAGCAGTGTCTGAGGGCTTCAATCTCTCCATATCCTTGCCAACGCTTATTACTGTCTGTCTTTTATGTTATTCATCCTAGTAGGTGTGAAATGGTGTCTCATTGTGATTTTGGTTTGCATTTCTCTGATGGTTAAGCATATTGAGCATCTTTTCATGTGTTTATTGGCCAGTTACATACCCTCATTGGGAAAATATCTGTTAAGATCCTTGGCCCCCTTTTTAATTGGGTTATTTGACTTTTTACTGGTGAGTTGTAAGAGTTTTTCACATATGGCATTCCGGATGCAAGTCCCTTATCATATACGTGATTTGCAAATATTTTTTTCCCATTCTGTGGGTTGTGTTTTTTAGGTCTGGTTTTAATTGACTCAATAGATGTTATTTTGAAAAGATTTTTCTTCCAGCAAATTAATGATGGCTTGAGATTCGGAAGATGAGCACGATGTACCCAGCGTGGTGTCAGTCGAACCATTTGTGTTGCTGTCCCGGCTCCTGTGCCACAGTTGGGCCAGGCAGCTGTTCTGTGACTGGTTGTTCTGCATGCTAGGAAGGATGTGATTGGCTCTTTAATTTTTTGGAACGAGAGTGGTTACTTCTTTCATTTGTCATCTCTTCTAAGTTTAGATGAGGAAACCCCACACATTTTCTGAACATGTGGCCTGTGTTGTGAACAGAAAGAAACTTGGACGTTATTTCCGCTTAATGAACCGTGTTGTAAAGATCTACCCTTCCCCAGCTATGCATGGGGATATTTCTCCTCTCCATTTGTAGAACTTTGGGTCTAGACTTTTTTTTTCCCTTTTCCTTTTAATTACATTTTATTTCTTAGCCAGCTCTTCTTCACAAATTACCACCAAAAAAAGCTTTCTTAATGCTCTTTCTGTTAACATAATTAGTTGTCCTAATGAGGGATTAGAACTGGATTTTAGTTTTGTGTTTTCAGAAAGGTTTCTAAGTCAAAATCACATGTCGCACATTTTTTTCCCCTGTAATGAAATTGGACAAATTAAGTGCATTTTCTTTTTTTTCCTTTTTCTCCTGCCAGCTTTTGATTGGATATTTCCCTTCTGCCAGATGCAGTCTGCTTTTCTCTTCTGGCTTTCCTCTGAACGTTTTGGTTTTATAAGTTGAAAAATATAACCTCCCACATCACACCGATCTGGTTTTGTGACTAGCTAGTTATTCTGAAAGGCTGAACTTGCTTTGGCTGCCACTGTCTGAGATGCAAAATGTGACAGCTTCTCAGAGCCGAGCTGGTGTGGTTTCCCCAAATCTTTTTCTCGTCTAAGATCTAGCTCCAGATGAAGGTGAAATATTTTACACTCTGGCCGATGCATAAGTTTATTGGCACTGAACACTTTGTGCCGTTTGCTAGGGTGCTGCAGGCTGCCTTACTTTTATTACCAGAGCATTCGAAAATCATGCAAGTGTTTTAGAGACCACGTAAGCGATATTCTCCCTTGACCAGTGGAGGAAACTGAGGCTCAAAGAGGTTGTGAGTTGCTGAAGATCTCCCAGCAAATCCACGCTGATGGTGATGATGATAATTAAAGGTCAAGTATTAAGGATAAAACCAAGCATTAATATTTGTATTAAACGTCCCCTTTTCCATAATCTCACTTCTGGTGGATGACGATGCGGAAGGGAGCCACTGGCTGGACACAGGAGCCCTGGCCTATTGTCCTGAGCTTGCCCTGCTCTAGCTGCCTCAAGTCCTCTTTGAATGAGGCAGGGAAATCAATAAATACAATCAGTTCCCTAACTCTTCGAACTCCAATTTCCTCACCTGTGAACCAGGACCTCCCCAGTGGATGGTGAGAATCAAATGGTAGCACAGGGATAGAAGTCACAGCCCAAGTTAATGACAATTGTTGATCTGGTGGGATGAGGTGACAAACATACACGCATGCACAGGCTGTCACATGGCAGTGTTGTTCGAGTAAACTCCAATTCGACAGTATTGTCACTTCATAAATGGCTGACTGGTTTCTTCTCCCGTGCCACATTTTAGCAGTTGCTTGTGGCTGCCCGAAGGGCTGCATTTAGGAGGATTCTGAGACCATGTCCAGGCTTAGCAGACAGCTAGGTCTGCCATGAGGACAGGAGCAGGGGGCCTCGGTTTCTGCCCCATATTGCCATCTGTGGGCTACACAAATGCAGAGAATTTTAACGTGCAGAAGCATGAAGTCATTTCAGCTTGTGAAGGAGAAAGCTTTTAACTCTGTGTGGGCCTGACTTTGACCACAATTTAATTTCCTCACTTGTGATGATGTCGCTGTGGGCCAGAGAAGGTTCTATTTTACAGCCTTAGAACTGGGTGGGCCTTGGGTCCTGGTAATTCTCTGGGATTGGGACTCGAGTGTCAGTTCCAAATCTGTCACAAGCCATCGAAAAGCAGTTGCTTTTGGTGGAGCAACTGATCCCCCCAGATCTCCCCTGGCCCTTCTGAGGGCCAGGACCCTGCTGTCGTAAAAAGGGCAGATTGGGTTTATTTCAGGACTATGTCCAGTGAGAATCTACTGAAATGCGGGCAATGCCCTGGCCCTCCTGCAGGGAACCTCCTGTTTTGTTAGCATGTGGCTGTGCTCTGTGCTCACATTCCACGTCTATGCCCCTGGGGACCGGGGAGCCTCCTCTGGCGTTGTTCCTTGCTCTTGGAGGCCGCGCGGTCAGCGGTGTGAAAACCTCTGCGAGACACCATGATTCACACGTTGGCTCTTGAGCACAGAAAGTGTCCTCTGATGCTGCAGCACACACCTGGCCCCGACGGCGTGTGGGTTGAGTCCAAGCACAGAATTTATCGTGTCTGATTTTCCTCTCTGGTCTCACTTGGTTGTTGTCCTTTTTTTTCCCCTCAAAGGTTCAGTCATTTGGGGAAAGGATTGTGCTTTTCATCCTGAATGTCATTATTTTTGGAAGATTGGAGAGAAATTTGGATGATGACGACATGTTTTTTCTGCCCCACTCTGCGAAGGAGCAAGCTAAAATTCTGTGGAGACACGGAGCAGCTGTGGGATTCTACACGACCAAAACGAAAGGTGAGGGACACGCCAGCGCCATCTCAGGCCGGCGTGAGGGCGGGCTCTCTGGATGTCCTCCGGGCTTGGAGGGCTCCCTTAGTGCAGCGTCACACGGAGGGGATCTTCTGGCGCAGGAAGTGTCACTAATTAAGCCGTGGTGTAAATAAACCCGAGGTGTGGGTTTCGTTTTCACCACGTTTCTCATCTCACTGGCCAACAGAGGGAAAAGCGTGTCCCTTCGGTTTGCAGACAGTGCCATGTGCCCCTTTAAAACCTTGTTGCAGTTAGTGGTGTAAACCGACTTTGCAAGCACGTTGCTTTTTCATTTTATTCCTTTAATGTTATTAATTAGCTGTCAGGAAAAATACCGTCGCTAATAGCTGACATGTGGAGCGAAAGCACACTGGATGCCAGGATTTATAGACATTACCTCAGAAGAGAGGGAGTCCGGCAATAACAATGTTAGGTTAAATGATTGTGACTTGAGGGTCAGTGACAAGTGGTAAATGTGGAGCTAGTACCATTTTGCTGCAGGGATTGGTCTCTTTTTAAAATTTGCTTTCTTTAATTTTTTTTTTTTTAAGAGACAGGATCTTGCTCTGTTGTCCAGGCTGGACTTGAACGCCTGAGCTCAAGCGATCATCCTGCCTCAGCCTCCAGAGTAGCTGGGTCTACACGTGTAATTTTTAAAGGCTGTCAACATCTCTCACCCAGCTGGTCCCAGCCCTAGCATTTGGTTCTTATAAACTTGTCAATTTTAGCAAAAATTAATTTTCCCAGTAAGCCACCATGGATGAACTGTTCTCTGAGTTAAGTGTTTTTCTCAGGGGATGAAGAGGCTGAGTTTGGTTGGACCCATGTTCACGTTGTGCATATGGTCTACCTGTCCAGGATGGAATAAATCTGCACTTCTCACTTTTTTCCGAAGTGTCTATATTTACTGTTTATTCATTATTCCTTATTTGTCAAGGTCGGTCACAGAGGCACCTGTGTCTTTCACCTCCTTTCGTCATGGTAGCCACTTGCCCTTTGATTTTGATGTGCCATTCCACTTGTTCGAATGGTCATGTCCTTTAGTCGTTAAGATAGACCAACCAACCGGGAGAATAATGAAGATGGAAGGGAACCTTTTCGTCATTCTTCTTTCCTGGGAGACTCATTAGTTGTCGTTTCCTACCAAATGGCTGGTCTTGAATCTGTAATAGAACCATCCTACTGATAGTAACAATAACTATTAACAGAGTCCAACTCGATGTGTGAGGATGACAGGTATGGCGCAGAAGGAGCTCTACTGTGGTCTTGCCTGGTCCCGCTGCTGCTTCTGGAGGCAGCAATACCCAGGGCCCCCGGTCCCGTGGAGAGGAGGCAGAGGTTGTTTGTGGCTGCCCTGGTCTTCCCCAGGCAGACTCAGAGCCTGGGACTGGAAGGAGAACTTGAAGATGTTGAGCTGAGGCAGATCAGACTAGATGCTTGAATTTGTGCCTCTCCATTTCTGATGAATTCCACAAATTCAGTGGAAAGTTCTCTGAAGCTGCTAGCTAGGTTGCATTGTTTTCATCAATGAACTGTTTTTTTAAGTGACAATTGATTTTTAGTTACTCAGTGATATAGTTGGTTTGAAAAGTATCGAACCTATAGAAAATTAAATAAAGAAAGCAAATACACTTTTCATGTATACATTGCCAACTTAAAATATTTTACTGCCTATTTCTGGATTAATTTATATGTGGAGAGACAAAATAAAAATATTTCCCTGGAATCAGTATATGTGTTACCACCAGCAGTGTACAAGAGTTCCAGTTGTTCATCTTCCTTGCCAGTGCTTGGTATTGTCAGTATTTTTAATTTTAGCCATCCTACAAAGTGAAGTGATATCTAATTTGGGTTTTAATTTACATTTCCCTAATGATCAATGCTATCGAACATGTATTTTCATGTGCTTCTTTGATGTTCATACATCTTGTCTGATGAAGTGTCTGTTTAAATATTTTTGCCTATTTTTAAAATTGGGTTGTTTGTTTTCTTATTACTGATCTTTGAGAATTCTTTATATATTTTAGTTAGCAGTTCTTTGTCAGATATGTGTTTTGAAAACATTTTCATTTTGGCGACTGTTTTTCAGAGAGCAGAGGTTTTTAGTTTTGATGAAGTCTAATTTATCAATTTTTATTATTCAGTTGAAAATATTTTCTAATTTACTTTATGATTTCTATGGGTCTTTAAAAGTGAGTTTTTAATTTCCAGATATTTGGGGGCCATCCCAGGTGTTTTATTTTTTGTTGATTTCTAGTTTAATTCTAATGCAGTGAGACATTATAGTTGGATGTATTTTAATATTCGGAAAACTCTTGAGAGTTGTCTTACAGCCGAGTATGTGGTCTGTCTTTGTGAACATCCCATGTGGACTTGAAGAGTATGTATATTCTCCAGGTCTTGGGTGTAGTGTCCCAGAACTGTTAGTTAGCTTAAGGTGATTGATAGTGTCGTTCATAGCTACATTCTTATTGATATTTTTGTCTAGTTACATCAATTTCTGAGAGAAGTCTGTTAAAGTCTTTACTTGTGATTGTGGATTCATCTCTTTTTTCTGTTAGTTCTGTCAGGTTTACTTTATGTATTTTAAAGCTTTGTTATTAGTCACATCTATATTTATAATTGTTATAGCTACTTGCTATATTGACCATTTTATCATCATGAAGTATACCCAGTTATCTCTAGTAATATTTCTTGTTATAAAGTCTACTTTGTCTTATTAATATAGACAATTCATTTTTCTTATGCTTTCTGTTTGCATGAGATGTATTTTCCAGCTTTTACTTTTTTGCATTTAGTCTATTTATGTCTTTATTTTTAAAGCATGTTTTTTTTTTTTTTTTGACAGCATAAAATTGGGTCTTAGATTGTGAATCCAGTCTTAAGTCTCTGTCTTTTGATTGGAAGTTAGTCTGTTTACATTTAATTATTGGTATGGCTATACTTAGGTCATCCCTTTTGCAACTTATTTCATGTCAACTTTTTGTTCCTCTGTTTCTCTTTTTCTGGCTTCTTTTGTTTTAATCAAATATTTTTTAGTGTTTATTTTTACTTTCATAGCTCACTGCAGCCTTGAACTTCGGGGCTCAAGTGACCCTCCTGTCTAGCTCTATCTTTTTGCATTTTTCAAAGTTGTTTGCTCTAAGGATTGCATATGCATCATAAAATTATCCCAAGTTACTTAGATAATATTGAATTACTTTAGGGAAAATATAGAAACCTTTGCAGCAGTATATTTTTATTTATTCCTCATTTTATTTACATAGAACTATTGTTATATATGAGATCTCTGTTTGTTATAAGACTGTCAATACTGCTTTATAATTTTTACTAAGTAGTCATGTTTTTAAAAGATATTTTAAAAAAAACCAGATAATTTAAAAATATTTACTCACATATTTACCTTTAGAATTTTTTTTTTTTTTTTTTGTATAGGTCCAAGTTGTCATCCAGTGGTCATTTTCCTTCAGGTTAAAATAATTTTCTTAGCATTTCTTATAGTGCAGTTCTGTTGGCAACAAATTATTTTAGTTTAACTGAAAATGTTTTTATTTTATTTCACTTCCATGCTTGAAAGATAGTTTAACTGGGTATGGAATTATTAGAGATAGTTTCTTTTCTTTCAGCACTTTGAATATGTTGCTCTGATATTTTCTAGCTTTCATAATTTCTTTTTTCTTTCCTTTTTTTTTTTTTTTTGAGACAGAGTCTTGCTCTGTTGCTCTGGCTAGACTGCAGTGGCATCATTATAGCTCACTGCAAGTTAAAACTCCTGGACTCAAGAGATCCTCCTGCCTCAGCCTCCCAAGTAGCTGGGAATACAGGCTCATGCCACCATGCCTGGCTAATTTTTCTTATTTTTTGTAGAGGTGGGGTCTCGTTCTTGCTCAGGCTAGTCTCAAACTCCTGACCTCAAGCAATCCTCCCACCTCTGCCTCCCAAAGTGCTAGGATTACAGGCATTAACCACCATGAACAACCCACTTTTATAATTTCTGGTGAAAAGTTAGCCATTACTCTAATTTTTGTCCCCTCATATACAACGTGTCATTTTTCCTTGACTGCTTTCAAGACTTTAACTTTGGCTTTTTTTTTTTTTTTTTTTACAGTTGACTGTGATGTGTCTATGTCTTAGTGCATTTGTACTGCTATAAAAACAATTACATGAGACTGGGTAATTTATAAATGACAGAAATTTATTTCTCATAGTTCCAGAGGCTGGGAAGTCCAAGATCAAGTTGCTGGCACTAATCCACTCTTGAGGGCAGATTCCTCATGCCTTAATCTCTTCTTAGAAAGGCCCCACCTTTTAATTCTGCCACAGTGGGGATTCAGTTTCAGCATGAATTTTGGAGCGTGCACACATTCAAACCATAGCAGTGTAGGAGTGGTTTTTCTTTTTGTTTATCCTTTTTGAGGTTTATTGAGCTTCTTGAATCTGTAAATTATTGATTTCTACCAAATTTGGGAAGTTTTTGGCCATTATTTCTTTAAATATTTTTTATGCCTCTTGCTCTATTCTTTTCTGGGATTCCAGTTATACGTATGTTGGGTGTTTCATGTTGTCTTACTGGTCTCTGAAATTTTATTTTTCTTTAAATATTTTTCTCTCTCCTTTGGTTAGATAATTTCTCTTGATATACATTCAGGTTCATCTGCCATTTATAATCTGTTGCTGAGTCCATTGAAAAATTTAGTTTATTGTACTTTTCAGCTCTAGAATTTCTATTGCATGTATGGTTTTCATTTTCTTTGTTGAGATTCTCTATACATTTATTCATTGAACACACATTTCTTTAATTCTTTGAATTATTTTATTTTAATTCCTTGAACATATTTGCAAAGCTCATGTGAAGTCCTTATCTGCTAATATCTGGGCCTATTTGAAGTCAGTTATATTGACCACCATTTTTTCCTGAGTATGGGTCATACCTTCCTGTTTCTTTGTATGTTTAGTAATTTTTGGTTGAAAACCAATTGTTGCAA